TCGAACTTGGGCTGCGTGGGCCCAAGAGACGCGCAATCGAGCGCAGAAACCAATTCTGGGCACCGATTGCAAATCTGGGCGCGCCTGCGCGCCAGACCGCAAAAAGGAGCCCAGAATGCAATTTTGGGCGCGCGGACGCCCCGGAGCGCAAATTAGCGCTCAGATTGCGATGCCGCCAGCCTCCGAGCGCCAGAAAGGGGAAAGAAGCCCAGACTGCAATTCTGGGCTCGGACGCCACGGAGCGCGAACTCGGCGCTCAGATTGCCAATCTGGACGCGCCTGGGCGCCAGACCGCGGAAAAGAGCCCAGAATGCACCCCGCATGCAGCCGCAACTGGAACACTCGGCGGTGCGAGAATGGCGCTCAGCGGCGCCTGACAAAGACAATCTGCGGCTACAATTTGGGCGCCAACCTTGAACGACAACGCAGCAGCAGTGACGGGGGACCCACGAGCTGGCCTTCGAACTTGAACAACACAGAGCACCCAGCACCAGAGGCTCGAGAGGCAAACCCCCAACCTCCAGCCTCGGGCCCCGCCAGCTCCCGCGGAGCCACCAAGTGTGCGAGACGGGGCCACCTGCTCTCTCGGGAGAGCACGACGCGCATAAGGCAGAGCCGCTGGCCCTCTCAGGAGGGCACCAAGCATATGAAACAAGAGTGCTTGTCCATTATGGCACCTGGGCCCCAGTACGCAAACCAAAGCCCCCAGAGGCCAAGAGGATAAGAGTGGATGACGATACGCTCTGTCGTCATATTTTCCTGCCTCCCAAATCGCTTCGCGATTTGGAGGCTAAGGAAATCCGAAATGTTCTGCTGCCTGCAGGACTCGTCGCCAACAGACTCGGTCGAAACACTTGCTGATGTCAACCAGGGTAGTGGTGGCGGCCATCAACTTGTCATGAGCGTAGGCCTCCGCGTAGATGCGCGCGCCCACATCCAGCGTGCACTTGTGGGCCGCCCCAGCGCGAAATAAGGCAGGATGTTTCGAGAGATCCATTGACGAACCTGCTGCAACCTGAGCTTCGTGCAGATGCGATGCGTCGCTGGAAGGAGAGCTATCGGTCGAAAGCCTCCTTGTGGTTTCGCAAGTGGCATGATGTGTACATTGAGCATGACCGTGGGTCATGGCATCCATGCTTCGGCCGCCCAGTAGATGTAGATCAGCATCGCAAGGGCCGCGTCGGAGACGAGGGATAGGGCGCGAGGAGGCAGCGCATCAGCTCCCAGTCCAGTGCGCCATCTGAATGTCGAGGCCGCTCTTCTGGTCTGAGCTACCGTGGGCGCGGGCAAGGCCACTGGGGGAAGAGGTCGAATCACAGCCAGAAGCTCCTCATCCTCATGGTCGGCCAGCGGCCGCGGATAGTCAGCGTCATCACGTCGCTCTCCTTCCCAGATCTTCCGCCAGCTATCCATCTGGGCGTCGGCGACCGCCTGAGGGTGCGACGTCTGGGTCTGACTCTGCTTGATCTGAGCACGTGCCCATGGCTGCACTCTGGTGATAGAGTAGACCTGCGCTGGGCCAGTGACCATCGCTTCGCGCGCCCATGCCTTGAACTTGCTGATCCTGTGTCAGCCTGCTTTCCACGTGCGTCATGATGGCGTTGGCGAAAGCTTGGAGGCAGAGTATACGCTGCATGGGGTGCTGCCTGCAGGCGAGGTGAATGATGTTTCAGGCGCCGTTGAAGTAGCTCTTGCCCGGCGGTGTGGACGTCTTGGGCATGGCCTGGTCGCGGCAATCTGGCGAGGTGTGTTCAGCGTGCTCGGCGTCGTGATGGTGACATGCGACTGGCCGATATCGAGCCCGCGTTCGTCGCCAGATTTTCTTTGCCTCCGAGCTGGTCCTGTGAGCCTCTGGGCCCCAAGAGCTCAGCACCCCCTGTTCGACCTTTTGGTGGCTCCGAGACCAGGCCGGGGCCAGATGTTTGAGTCGGCCTGGGATCCTGGGAGACCTCCTGGCGAAGAGTTCTCTGAAGGGGCGTGGCGACATCGTCATAATAGTTGGGTAGCTGGTCGACCGCCGCGACGCCGAACTCGGCCAGGAAGTCGGCCACCAGGTCAAGAAGCGCTGGGCCCGCAGCACGATGGTATCGAGCCTCGCTGCCTCCAGTCGGGTGTGGGCCAGTCCTGGGGCCCCCAATCGGCCGCCACGTGTAAGATGGGCCGCCTGCACGGCCTCGGTAGGCATCAAGTTCGTCAACTTGGTAGATGCCGATAAGCTCGCTCTCGACGTGTGAGATGAACTGACCGTGCAAGGCGTCCATACGGCCGATGGCTTCTTCCTTGGAGGTAGGGGGGCCTCGCTGAGAGTCGTTCTCAACAATGTCCAAGTAGTCAGGCGTGGCAATCGGGCCCTGCAGCGGGTTGCAGCCCTCTGTAGTTGGGGAAGCCCCTCGGGGCGGTGATGCTGAGGATCTGCGTGGTCTTCGGCCTGACCTGGACGTAGGTGAGGACGGGCTTGTGAGGCCGTGCTGGCCATGTCGACACCGTGGCGGGTGACCTGCGTGCCACCTCAAGGCCAGGCGACACGAGGAAGTAGTCGATGTTGTTGTAGTCGCCCTTCGCTGTGCGACACGTGCCCTCCCCCCTTGGTGTAGAGAAGCGCGGCAGGGAACACCTCAGGCAAGCCATATAACAAGTAATCTTGCGGGGTGACGTTCCAGTCGCCAGCAATGAAATACGGCTTGTTCATGTATCTGAGGAACTTCGAGAGCCGCAAGTAGCGGTCATAGTTGGCAGTGAGGTAGCAGGTCTTGTGCGTGTACTCCATATAGACAGATCCCAACAATAGCCCTCCAATAAGTCCAGCATCAACGTGTATGACCACTGCCCAAGCCGGTGCGATTTCATGAGTGACTTTGCCATCGGGTCCCTCGACGACGGTGGCAGGAAGGTGAGAACGCACAAAGACGCCTGCGCCCGCACTGGGTAGTCCAGTAGGTAGGCGTCGGCAAGCAGCGATGAAGGCCTGCCTCCGGTTGCGCCGAGCCCAAACTTGTGCCTGGGCAAGACGCTCGTCATCGAGCCTGAGTTCTTGAGCGCGCACGACATTGACCCTTCTCGTACCTTCCGCCAAAAAGGTCCTGCAATAATCCCAACAAGAACCGTTGAAGGTAGCAACTGCAATAGATTTGCGCTTGGAGCCTCTCGGAGCTCAAGTCTCCACCCGCCTGCTCCCAGGCTGCCTGCTCGACAGCCATTGCGTCAGGGCGTGCTGCTGAGGGGCGACAAGCAGCTGGCTGCAGTGGTGGAGGTGCAGAGGCGGCTGGAGGTACTGCGGCCCCAGTCGCGACGGTGCCGATGTTGGTGACCTGCTGCTCGATGGTGGACAGGAGCTGGGAGCCGTCCAAGTTCGAGGTGCCTGCCCTCGCCGCCTGCAGGACAGCCTGGAGCTGGATGATGGCTGCTGAGACGTTAGCCATCGCTGAGGCTCCTTCTGTGGCTGCCACTGCTGCAACTGCGGACTGGGCCTGGGCGACCTCGGCGTTGAGGCTGGCCGTCTCCGCCTCGAGCTTGGCGAGCTGCTGCTTGCCGTCGGCGAGGTCCGTCTCCAGCTGCTCGACCTGAGCTGCCTTGGCCGCGCGCTCGGACTCCTTGGCTGCCCACCTGTCCTTTGCACTCCTGAGCAGGTCGGATGGGGTCCATCTGAGATCGCAGTACAGCTTCGGCTTTGTCATGTTCTGCCTTGGCGGCGATGACCAGGTCGTGCTCGTCACCGTAGATGCGCCGTAAGGCCAGCCAAGCTCGCTTGGACTTGGTGGCTGCGGCCTGCTGTGGCGATGCAGCAGCAGCAGCCTGAGGAGCAGCGGCAGCATGATCAGGACGATCGCGCCAGGGCGCCTCGGGGCCGCGCGAAGAGGGCCTCTTGCGGCTGGGCGCGCGCTTGGGGGAGGCGGTGGGCTTGCCATCCTTGTCCCTGCCGCACGCCCAGCACGTCGCCCTGGAGGCGAAGTTGTTGCGGATCCCGCAGGCCTTGGTCGCCCTGCAGGCCCAGACTTCGCCATGCCGCTGCTGCATGCGCTGGGTTCCAGCAAGCGGGGCACTGCCGTGATGCGCCTGCAGGAGCCGCCTGGCGGCTGCCTCGCGCAGCGTCCGCCGCGCGCTGGCGCGGCGCCTGCGCAGGCGGCGATGCCAGACAGGCGACGGGGCGCGCCCGCTGAGGCCGCCCGCCGCCGCAGGGTCGCCTGCGCCCGCCGTCGGCCAGCAGGCTGGGGCCAGATGGATGCGCCCGCCGCGCGCCCCCGCGCGCGTGGGAGCCCAGATGGCAGCCTGGAGGAGGAGGAGGAGGAGGAGGAGGAGGAGGAGGAGGAGGGGAGGAGGAGGAGGAGGAGTAGGAGAGAGAGGAGGAGGAGGGGAGGAGGAGGAGAGGAGGAGGAGGGGAAGAGAGGAGGAGGGGAGAGGGGGGAGGAGGGAGGAGGGCGGAGGGAGGAGGAGGAGGGAGAGGGAGAGGAGGAGGAGGAGGTCGGAGGGCGGAAGGGCGGAGGAGGAGGATGGAGGAGAGGAAGAGGAGAAGTAGGAGGAGGAGGAGGAGGAGGAGGAGGAGGAGGAGGAGGAGGACGGGAGGAGGAGGAGGAGAGGAGGGAAGGGAAAAGGAGGAGGAGGAGGAGGAGGAGGGAGAGAGGCGATGAGGAGGAGGAGGAGGGGAGAGGACGGAAGTGATGAGGAGTAGGAGGGGAGGGGCAGGGGCTAGGGCAGGGGCAGGGCAGGGGGAGGGGAGGGGAGGGGGAGGGAGGGGGAGGAGGAGGAGGAGGAGGAGGAGGAGGCGGAGGAGGAGGAGGAGGAGAGGAGGGTAGGAGGGATGCAGGAGGGGAGGATGAGGAGGAGGAGGAGGAGGAGGAGGAGGAGGGGGAGGGGAGACGGGGGAGGAGGAGGAGGGGGAGAGGAGGAGGAGGAGGAGGAGGAGGAGGAGGAGGAGGAGGAGGAGGAGGAGGAGGGGAGGCGAGAGCTTCTGGGCCCCAAGCGCCGTCGGCTCTGGCCCCGGTGCCTCGCGGCTGCGGCGTCGCCTTGGGCGCCGGCCGGGCCCCGCGCGGCGGCGCGCGGGCGCCCGGCGCGCCGGGGCGCGGCGACGGGGCCGCACATGGCCGGCACGAAAGCTGCCGGGGGCGCTGGCCTCTCGGTGGGGCGGGGGGGGGCAGACCTCGTCGTTTTTCCTCCTGTTTCCTCCTCCACCTCCTCCTCCTCCTCCTCTCCTCCTCCTCCTCTTCCTCCTCCTCCTCCTCCTCCTCCTCCTCCTCCTCCTCGTCCCTCCTCCTCCTCCCTCCCTCCTGCCTCCTCCCTCCCCCCCCCTCCTTCCCTCCCTCTCTCCTCCTCCTCCTCCTCCTCCTCTTCCTCCTCCTCCTCCTCCTCCTTCTCCTCCTCCTCGTCCTTCTCCTCGTCCTCGTCCTCGTCCTTCTCCTCCTCGTCCTAGTCCTCGTCCTCGTCCTCGTCCTCGTCCTCGTCCTCGTCCTCGTCCTCGTCCTCCTCCTCCTCCTCCTCCTCCTCCTCCTCCTCCCTCCTCCCTATTTTCGGCCTCCATGGTCCCTTCCTGGGCCTCGAGGCCGTCAAAAAGGTAAAAAACTGGTCCCGGGGAAAGGGCAAGACCTCTGGGGGTCGGCGCTGTGGAAAAAAACACGACGTCGGGGGTCTGGGGGGGGGCCGGGGGGGCAGAAACAGGGAGGGGGAGTTCGAGGAGGAACGAGGGGGCAGGGGAGTTCGAGGAGGAGGGGGGCGGTGGAGGAGGGGGGCAGTGACAGGGGGCGTTCGAGGAAGAGGGAGGGTGGAGGAGGGGGGCGCGGTGGAGGAGGGCCAGGAGCTGCCCGGGGGCGCTCGCATTGGTGGCCGATTTCTGTTCACGGGGGAGGAACGGGGAGCGGGAGAGAGCGCAGCCATTCGGCGCCAGCGCGTTCTGGCAAGGCCTCTGCCGAACGCGCTGGACGCACCGCAGTCAAGGGTACCTTCCTTCCTCCCCCCCTCTTCGCTCCGGCGCGCGCGTGCTGGTAGGAGGGAGGGCCGTACCACGGCCGTTCCTGCCCAGGCCACTCTGACGAGCCAGCGAAACCGGCGAAAGCTCACACGCACCATTGGCAACAAAAAAAACTGCATCACATCACACCCAAACGTGCGACGCCCTGCTTTTTTCAGGACGGGCCCCCCGGGACCCGTTCCCCGGGACCGGTATCTCATCTGTAGTCGTTCTTCGACTGGCCCGAGGCCCGGCGAGGGCCCCCGAGGCCGAAGATGGCCAAACACCTCCAGTCCGGATTTTTTTACGACGCGACCATGCCTGGGTCGTATTGCTAACTGTCGCATCGTGAGGGGAGGGAGGAGGGAAGGGCGGCGGAGAAGGAAGGGCAGGAGAGCCCAAGACCGAATCGATGAGTCGGGTCGGCGACCGACGCGAATCGGATCGGCGGAAGTCGGCAGCCGAATCGGACAAAAATCGGATCGGCAGAAACTGGCACGCCTGTGTGCGCCCAGTGAGAAACATCGGAACCCACATCGGAATCCCAGGTCGCGTCGAACCGGAATCGGAATCGGAAGCCGCCGAAACCGAATCGAATCGAATCGGGGGAATCGAAACGAGCCCCGGGAGGGGGAGCAGGGAGGAGGGCCAGGGGGGAGGAAGAGGAGGAGGAGGAGGAGGAGGAGGCGGAGGAGGAGGAGGAGGAGGAGGCGGAGGGGAGGAGGAGGGAGGAGGAGCAGGAGGGGGAGGAGGAGGAGCAGGAACAGGAGGAGGAAGAGGAGGTGGAAGAGTAGGACGAGGAGGAGGACGAGGAGGAGGAGGAGGAAGAGGAGGAAAAGGAACAGGAGGAGGAGGAGGAGGAAGAGGTCAGGTCAGGTCAGGTCAGGTCAGGTCCGGTCACGCAATCTTCGAAAGCTCCGCGTGAGAAGGCTACTGGGGGGTGAGGCGCATGAGCCGCGGCCCCAGAGGCCCAAGTGTGAACCAGCTGAGAAAAACTCAGAAGGGCAAATCAGCCAGATTTCTGGGCATAACAAAAATTTACCCCAGTCCCCTCCTCCTCCTCCTCCTCCTCCTCCTCCTCCTCCTCCTCTTCCTTGGCATGAGCGCCGTACAGTCCTTGGCCTGAAACGCCGTAGGGGATTGGGGGGAAGGTGGAAAACGGGACCTGCCGCGCGTCTGCGGCGGACACGGCGCGGGACCGCCACAGCGCTGCCGCCGCTGACGGGGGGGGGGGTTCAAGGCGGACGGCTAGCCTCGGAAGGGACGCGAGCCTGACCCTATCCAGAGAAAACAGCACGACCCCCCCTCCACCACGAATAATCTTAAACAATCGACCCCAACTAAGAGCACGTTGGCCGCATCTCCTCCTGTGCACAAACATAACAGAACAGAGGCTCGAGCGGCACTGGTCGCGGATGCTGATGGACGCAGCTCGAATGGTGGGGGCAAGAGGCAGTGCACCAGAGCGGCAATCTCCAATCCCATCCTTCCTCGAATAACACCTCGACGACCCCCTTATGAGTTGGAAGTCGCAAATGTAAACCATCTGTGCAAATCACTCTGCACCAAGACGGGTTCCTGGGTCTGCTCAGGCACGGGATGGGAGAACAAACCTGCCAACTGCACTGGAACGCGCCCACGTTCTCTGGTGCGGGCACGTCTACGCTTCAACGCTTCAACTCTGTTTTCGGCAATGCGCTCACGAACGTCCAAAGGGAGAGCGGGGGGGAGGCGGGGAGGGGATTCAGGCGTGGAGGAGGGGGGGTACTTTCCAAAGGCGACGAACGACGCCTCCTCAGCCGCGACACCTTGCATCGCCATTGAGTGGGTGCCTTCCAACTCCTCCTCCTTCTCATTGGGCGTCCTCCTTCCTCCCTCTGTCCTAAGCACTACTGAGACCCGAGCTAGTGCTGACTGTGGCCGAAGGGCAAGGGAAAACTGCAAAATCAGGCCCCATGGCAGGAACATGTCGTGCAATCTTGTTGGGGTCAGCAAAGAAACGCAGCAACTCTTTAGCCTCGAAGGCTTCTTCGGGGCCCTCCAAGACCGACGATTGTCCTCATGGCGAGGGCAGAATAGCCTTCAACATTAGCTGTGGCTAGAACGGTGCATAACTCGGGCGCGTGCACCTTTTTGGGGGCAGTCCTCCGTGGCCTGAGGGCTGGATCCCACGAGCGCGCGCGCATGCCGTCGGGGCGGCATCCCCCGCCCGGGGCGTTACGCATGTGCAGGGAGGTCAGGGAGGCGAATGCCTAAGAAGACTGTGGGGGCTCGGCCACATTGACCGAACTCACGTTGATCGAAGGTGGTGAACGTAGAGCACGGGGCAGCCATGAGGGCCTTAAAGGGGAGGAGGCTCCACGAGAATACAGAGCGAGGCCCCCGCGACGGCGGGAGCGGGGGCTCCATCCATGCGCAGCCCTGCGCGATCATCGTAGCATGCGTAAGCTCGACCATGGACTGCGGCAAGTCGTTAGAAACGGCAACTTGTAGCTGTTGTCCGGGGGCGAGCTCTGTCACCCCCGCGGAGCTTGCCAGGTCCTGAGAGGAGGGGGGGCCCCTCTCTCCACCGGGCTGCGCAGGGCGCCTCATAGGCCCCCCCCCCCCCCTAGCGCAATGATGCGCCCCGCGCGGATGTGCGCGGAAAAGCACTCCATGGAACTGCTTCCTCTCAGATCGCCGAGCTCGGCATCCAGCATAATGTCAGCAGACAAAACGACCAGCTCAAAGGAAGGCGTGTAGGTTGTCATGGCCAACTCAATGGCCTCTTGAACGTCTCCAGCTCTACGCCGCTCATGTAAGAAGTTGGCGTCAAAAACCTGTCGGCGCAAAATGCGCTCCGGGACTTGGGCGCGCAGCGCGCCGGAGAAAACTGGGGCCTCAAGCGGCCGCTCGATTTTAAATGGTTTGTGGCCCCAGGCAACCTCGGGCTCATCCAAAACGCGGGGCGCGGGAGACTGCCTGGACCATCCCGTGGTCTGCTCGACCATCTCTGACATGAACTTGCGCGCCGCTGCTCGAGGATGGTTGGCCCGCGCTGCAATCGCCGCCGGGGGGGGGGGGCAGGGGCAGTGAGCGACGGGAAGCGGCCTCTTGAGGCCGAATAACCTTGGCGCCGACGCGCCTGATTCTGGGCCCTCTCCTCTGCAGCTAGCTCCGCGCGACTGTGCTGAGCTGGCGGCGCAGGGTGCTCGGGGTAAAAAACCACGCATGTCGGCCTCCAGGCCGCGCTGTGTCTCGGCAGCAGCGAACGCCTCTGGGCAGCGCGCGCGCCGCAGGTACCCGCCCTCGCGAGTGCAAGGTCGATGTGGGTAAAGTGCTCGCGCCTGATGTGGGCGTCGAGCGACCGCGCCCCCGCAAACTCCAGCGGACAGACATGGCGGCTATATTTGGAGGACTCGGGGGGGGGGGGCAATCGCGACGAGGAGGTAACCCGTTAGCTGTCAGAACTGACAGTTCTCGCTGTTGCCGCTGCGAGGCCTGCGCGTCGCGCTGGAGTCGAAACGCAGACGCCCGACTGGCGGCGCGAAGAGCGCGCTTCCATCCTCCGGGCGACCTCCGTATCTCGGCCATCCAGGGCTCCGTGCCTGCGCTCGGTAGCTCAAACTCTTTCAACTTAGGATGCGCAGCGCGAAGCCGCATCAGATCCCCGCGAATGGTATGAAGCCAAGACTTGTTGGATGCAACGCAGTCTGCGTTGCGTGCAGCCAGGAGAGGCCGGGGGGCGACATTGACGCCTGGCCGAAGAGCCGCAACCCGGAAACCCGAATGGTCGCGCTAGCGGTAGGTCGAGCCGCCCGCGCAAGAACCGCCAGATCAGTAGGTCCTCCTGCTTCATACCTTGGCAATCTAAGGGGCCCGCGATATCGCCGAATGCACTGCGACTGCAGGCGTAGCGTCTCAGCCTCGGTCATTTCATACCAAGAGCCCGCTGCGCATAGCGCGGCATTGACGGGCAGCGCGTCGATGAGGTTAGGTGACATATCTTTCCCAGGTGCATCAGAAACGGCGCGCCTCGATGCTTTCTGTCCCGATAGGCCAACTCAGCGCCTAAAGACGCCTTGCCATCCAACATGCTGCCCAAGTAAAGCGTAAACCAAACAGCTGCAATGCGCTCCCCTCCGCAAGCCAGCCCAAGGACTGAGATGGAGGGGGAAGGGTCTTTAAAC